TATTACAATATAAATAAAAGTATTAGCCCATTTAAGTCATATTCAAACTTCATTCATAATATTTCAAAATGTCATTCTGATTTGATTTGGAGTACAATTGGAGTCTTCTTAATTATATCTTTATCTTTCTGTTAATTGATTTTCAGAAAGGAGGGTCTATCCTTTTAGGAGCGCTTTACCTAATTAGTTTTGAGCGACAGAATTATGGGGGTATTCTTGTTTAAAGATATCGTTCTTTTTAGCAAACTTCTAAATTACGGTTAGATTAAAAGGTTTTTGTTCTACTAAAATAAAGCAAAGAAAAATATTATTCAACAAAATGGTGGTCATATAGAGATGAAAAATCCTGTGTCATTAAAATGTTATATTTTTTACTTAATACAATAAAACTATTGTAGATACTGATATATTTTTATTACAATCTATAAGGGAACGTTTATTTTACATGAAGATATCTAAAATTAAAGAAAATCGAACGATATCTCAGCAGTGAGGTAGTTTAATCATGATACAAGATGAGTAGTTCAATCGCTAAAACTGAATATCATTATTTTTTAATTACAAATCGTTACATATTTTACAAATTTTTGTTGTAATTATTCTTAATATGTTAATTACATCATGTATAAGAATAGTTTCAGTATTCACCAAATCTCTTCAAATAAATTACCGAAATGTCGTGTCAAAGTACATTTGCCTAACAGTAAGTTAACGGACGTTTATTGTACGGTTTATGTTATTGTTCTTAGAAAAATTAAAGTTCGTTCTTTTAGATCTTGAAAATTAGGGATTTAAAAATAGATTATAGAATACAAATTTGTGGAATTGCATCGATTAAAACCGACATAAATGTTTATCAATTAATGTTTATAAAATTCAATAAGCATCAAAGTGACGCGTTCCGTAAACCTAGTGTTGGATTAAGCGTAATCCAAGTTTCGAAATGGGAAACCAAGATTACTTGGGACCGCGAAGGGTTAAACAAATTTCACCCTTGCGTAGGAACGGTTTTGTGGGCCAAAGTTGTAGCAGATATAGGGAAGGACGCGTGCTAACGATGGGACGGCATCATGTATCTAACGTGTCGCGTGCATACGGAGACAGACAGAGCAACAGGGACACCGGGAAGGACCAGAACGACGAATAGGAGCACGACCGCGACCACGTCCACGAGTCATGGTCGTGGTCGTCAAGAGTACGGGCCGAACGACAAGAGATATCCTCCGGCCTGTGAGGGACCTATATAACTGTACCATGTGTCTGGGTCAGGGGGCGGGCCGCCACGTTTATAGTATACTCTCTATATCGAACAGGTGTACCCCATTCCGACTCCTTGAGTTCTCGCGTGCACCATCGGGCCGCAGCCACGCCGCAACGCGTCTTTCTAGCTGCCGCGACAGATATCGCGACGCATCGCGGTAAATACGTGGCGAGAGATCAGTCGCGCGGGAAGCCTCCGACGACACTTAACGACGCGTTCGTAAGAGCGCACGGAATCATTTGCGGCGAGTGGCTTGCAAACGTCTCGGGTCATACCTCCTCACACGTTCGCCGATTTTGTCCCCGTTTCCACGGCTGAAATCTGTTGCGAATCCGACTGACTGTGCTTTAGAGTGCCTCCGACCGCGCGGCCACGCGGAGATTTCTCGGCACATGGTGCGTCGATCAGTGCGGTGTTCGAATCCGTTCTCCTTTTCTCCTCGTCTTGCGTCCGTCACAAGGGATTCGTAAAAAGAGACAGGAGCGCTCGTTCCAGACGACCAGATTTCCAAGCTGGTAAAAAGACGTAAGGCACTTCACACTTGATAGTTATGTACTTAGACGAACTGTTCGTTTTTGCAAATGCCAGATGGCACGCGATGCATAGTAGTCCGGTCCAATTAGCCCCGCCGATTCGCGCAGTGTCGTTCCCGGATTGGACAAGTGATCGTTTGCGAGATTCTCCGGATGCGCTTATTATATGTTTGGATTAATCGTTGTAATTATAGCGCGGCACGGTGTGATTCAATTATCGCCATGGCCATTGATTAAACTATTATTTACAGCGGAATTGTCGTCATTTGTACCTCTAATGCGTTGCTAATGACAGAAGCTGCAGTCTCGACCGGAGAAATTATATGACGCGCCGTAGGATATGCACCGCATTATAGCCGACCACGTGGTGACCGCTTTCATTCTATCGAATGTATATCGCCGCAACAGTTGGCGGCTGCTCGCCGGATGGGACTAATCTCGCGGAGTCACCTCGGAAATCGACGATGCATACACGTATACGTACGTTTTGCGGTTCGATTTGTATCCATTTTTTTTCTCTCATTAATCGCACGTTACACACGCGAAAATTACCAGATTATGCCATTTTCACGGAGCTAGTTTCGAACGTCTTTTCACACGATTTCTCCCGTCGAGTCGGAATAAAATTTCTTTTCTTCCGATAGAACGAATGAAAATTAACGAGTATAATCGTCGGTCATGCACGCGTGATAGAGTCGTTAACGTTGGGACTTTTGAGTGATGGATCATCCTTGACAATATAATTTTCTACGTTGACGCGTATTTATTGATGTAGCCAATGGATACGATGGAGGTGATTGTCTTAAAGGGGCTATGCGAATCGCGAATGATGGCAGACGTGAAATCGAACGCGCAGGGAAAGAGGATAGTAAATCGGCAGCCGGCGTTAACGGTAGGCGATTTTCATTGAGTACCGGTGGGGTATCTCGCACGATCGATCAGCAATGCGACACCTCTACATCGAAAGTGCATCGAGTTGTCATCAAGTTGTCAATTTGTTTCGTTACGCTCGATTACCATGCGGTCGTTAGGTTACAGACGATAGAGTAATGTGGATTATGTGCGTATCATATATCGCACGTGCGTTCAGCATATCATTAGTAATTGCTAACGTATTTTCCGCACTGATGGGATCGTTTTCACGATAATTACATGTCGAGATTATTAGCAGATTTACATGCAAGGATTTACAATGATCGAACACTGTAACCTCCCATATTTTTATGAATATTGTACGATGGAAACTTTTTGTCTTGTTTTATATTAAATTGGATTAAGTCATATATTGATTAAGATTTTGTACGATCAGGTTTTAGATAACACTTATGTTTTACTTTGTCGTAAAATGATTATGAAACAACATAGCTTGTTAGCTTCACTTTGCAAAATCATTTGCATTGTACGTGTATTTAATTTTAGAAAATATTCACATCATCAATTATTCCTGTTCTCACATTGATAAATCGCTCATAAAATATCTTTTACCGTTTTTATTTTTAATTTTCTATATCTTTTTCAATCGTCATAGTCTCTAGAATTAGCACACTTTATCCATTAATATTACTGTTGCCGATCAGGAAACAGTTACACGGAAAAATGTGTTCAATGAAATCCATAATCGTAACTCTAAATGACACGATTGTTCAGCACAAAAATGAAAAAAAATTCCTCGACTCCTATTGTCGAAAGTGTCATCGTTCGGCGGAAAGGGGAACGAGACGAGATTTTTTACTTCCTTCAATATAGGTTACTATTAGGTACGTACTCATTATGCGAATGCCTGACTTCGGAATTACCACACCGGTAGAACCGTTATATGTATTTGGCACCACGCCACATCTTCGGCGTGCCCGATTCATGGTTAGCATGGAACAACGGACGTGTAAACAGCCGGCAGTGATTTTTATTCAGCCACGGCCCCGTGGCGGACGAAAGAACAGGTGTCGCAGTCTATTCTGGCATGAATCGCGAAGCGGAATAATAACTAACGTATGCCGGTAATAAACAAGCGGCCGTGACTCTGCTGCGCTAACGGAATTTGGTATAGATCACCGGGAGATCGTAATTACCTACCGCTCAATATTCACGCACGCGGTCTCAGCTGAATGCATTAATTACGTCGGGCCGCGTGAACTTTCGTATTACCCATGACGGTAGAAAGTAACGATATTTTATTAGCGCTCGATCACGCCGCGACTAATTTCTATCGTAATCATTGCCATTCTTATAATAGTCGAAGCATCATACATCCTAGAAACGAAATAGGGTAGAACGATGATCGATCGAATCCCGGCGCCTGCAGAGGTCAACGGGGACCTCGAATGGCTTGTTCGTGGCCTTTTAGAAATTCCCAGCGCGCCGCCATCGAAACGGCAGACAAACAGCCACTCAAATCCCAAATCGGTGATTTGTCGCACGTATCGTCCATTGTCCGATCTAGAACCGAACGAAAATCTATTGGTGGGGTCGATCCCAGCGTCGGATCCGTGTAAGTGGATTCGGTACGGACGTCGAGACCCGATAGACGGAAACCTACTTGCCTACATTCGTGCACCGCGTGCACCTTGAACCTGCATAATACCGATGAGTCGTGTTGCCTCGTTGCGTCTTCGTCGTTTTTCAAATAGCGAAGACAGCGTTGGTCGCTCGTGGAAACCATTCCATCGGATTAATCGCATCGAACGTGCTTGTTCGAGTACTGATTCTTTTTAGAGAAAGTAAAGCTTCCATTTCGATAGCGAAACCTTGTTCCCATTCTTTTTTGTTGTTGCCAATCGCGATAAAGAATTCATGATCGATAGCGAAGTGTGGAAAAATATTTGCGACTTTTTGGCACACGATATCGGTTCGACGAATTCAGTTCATACCTATAGATGTCGATCGTGGAAGTCGGGTGTCATGAGTACAACGAGGTAACGGAGCGAAAACCCGGACATTCGGCAGGAATTTGGGACAGGTGGCCTAGTGGTCGCACGAGGCGAGCGTGTCTGATAATTGACGATTAAACACGAGCGAGGCATTCAATGATGGACTGGTTCGTTCGTTCAATGTTCGCTGTTTGCTACTAATAAGTAATTGTTACGTTTCACTTGTACTTGTTCCTTGAAAATATCCAAAAATACGCACGTCTCGAGTTTCGTAGTTCTTCTTCGCAGTTTGTAAGTTAATGTTTGTTTTTCTTTTTGTATTTAAATTACAGATCTCGATCGATCAATCATCAGTCTTTTTGCTGAAGAAAATAGTGGATAATTATATCGCCACGTGTTTGCTTCAATTGCTGAAATACACTTTGCCGTGTTGAAGCGATCGTCTATTGAGCACGCGAGATTATAATCGTAGGTACGTTTACACTTGTTGATTTTAAATACCAGTTGGGCTGAGTTGATATTTTTCTGAATGGGATTTTGTCAATTTTTTTCAGCCGCACATTTACAGTGCTCCACCGTGGACACTAATACGGTATGCGTTGGAGAATCTTCATCTTTGCCTGTCTCCTACTGCAGGGGGTAAGTTGTTTTTAATTTGAAAATAATAAGGGAATTTATTATGACAGTCGCTTTTTATGTAACGTATGATGTAAACTTGTTTAAAGCTGTAAAAATTATTTCTGCGAGGAATGACGAAAGATTTATACGCATTCGTACTAGTTATATTGAATAATAATTGAGAGTAACAAGAACATTTTGATTATTCGAGCTTTTTCAAAATTTGAAATATTTGAAAAGAAAGATGTTATGTTCAGAATATTTGCGATATTTAAGGTTATTAAAATTTTAACGATACAAATAGGAGTGCTAGCAAATTTTATTTTCAATTAATAATTTGAAAATTATTTTGTTGACAATTGAGACATACAAAGGATATTAAAAATTTTTATATGGCGAATATGAATTGACTACATTTAATTCTTTATTCCAACAAATCCCATGCAGTTTAAATTTAGCATGCATTATTTATATTATATAAAATCCTGTTGTAAATCCTGTTATAAATGGGTAAAATAAAGTAAATATAAATTTGTTTTGTCAAATATTATAATATCTTGCTTTAAAATAGCATCTCGTTTCTCAATTCATTTTTTAAAAATACTTTTAATGTATGAAATATGATATTGAAATATTTCATTTTATACATCAGGTGAGGGAAATAAAGATAGTTTATTTGCTGAAAGTTCCTATTCTATTTAAAATAATTTTAATTGAATTATGCAGCAATTAATAGTTTAAATAATACTTAAAATACATTTTTCAGTTTTACTCAGCTTCGTGAATTATTAGTCAAAACATTAGAAACTAATCAAAACTAAACCAAATAAAACCTGATAAAACATAAAAAATCAATAATAAACTCATTATATCTCGATAAACTTCATTGCACATTAAATCCTACAAAACATCTGTGTCGTTTTAATGCACGCAATCCAGGCACAAATAAAAATTAGTATCTACTGTTCCCGAAACTGTAATTGTCATTTAGATTTACAGTGTCGCTTAATTTTCAAACAATTTCATTATCGCAGTTACACGAAATTTTTATACCCCACCCTTTAAAAATCTCGTTGACATATTCTTGCGTAAATTCGTTTCCGAAATTCTGCTTTCACATTTTTCTTGGCAAGCCGCGCGCGGGCTCTCCCATTTACATTTCCTGTAGGTAATAAAAAAACGACATTTAACTGTCATAGGGGACGGGCACGAAACGTTTTTGAAGGGCCGTGTGCCAGCGAACGAGATGCTTTCTTTTAGGATAATAAAAAATGGGATAATAAACAGACCCGGCGCAGGAAACGTCGCGTACTTTTTAGTCGACCCAATAAAACGGCGCGTTTACGTGGTAAAGCAACGCCAAGTGCGCGAGTTGTTGAATGGATGGTCAAAAACCGCCGGGAAGTAAAGAAGAACGCGCGGCGACGTTTCAAGGGGGGTAGGTCGGTATGTCTGCGTGGGTAATTACTACATTATAACCCAGATTCACGGTGGGTACATAGCCTGCAATGCCGTTACCCAGTGCTCTGACCCAGAGCTAAGGGCGACTCGAGGCCCGGTCGATGTCTTGAAATGGTGCGCGGCGTTTCGATCCGGCTCATCCACGTCTACTACGAAGTAACGTTTTACCGTCGGGCCTTCACCACGAATCGGTCTTACAAGATTGCGCGCAAAAATTGCACATTAAACTACCGGTTCCCTGATCCTACCTTCCCATCCTGGATTCTTGGGGACCGACCCGACTTTAATTCTTTCCTTACTTTTTTCCTTTCTTCCTTTTTGAACGGCGTTCATTCTTCGGGACCACCGAGGCACTTAAAATATTTATGTCACCGGCAGAGGCTGTTTGATCGATTTCGTTCCTCTTTTCTTCAATTTTATTTTGCGGCCCCACTTTTTCGGAATTCCTCGTGCCTCGGCGGATACTCTACTGTATGTATCGTTTACTTTGAACGGGGCTTGAGTCTGTTTTATAATCAAGTTAATGGTTATAATAATTGCAATTATCTTTTGGGTTTTTAGTTTTTAACAGTCTCTTCTTGTTTTTCGTTTTAAATGGACTTACGCTACTCTTTAAATAAACGGCTTGTTTACGTGATTTTAGGATAACGGTCTTTCGAAGTTTGTTTAACGTTTTCGGCGTTGGCATCGGAAAATTGTTATGGTAGGAGAATTTTTGTTTTCTTAAAGAAATAATATCTGCAATGAAATATTGAATTGTAATCAATTTTTCGTAACAGGTGTTAATACGATGTTTGGGCTGATTTAAGCAGTAACTAAAATATTTTTAATTAAATTTGTAGAAGCAATTGTTTATAGCAGTTTGTTTATTTTTTTGCAGGAGTGAAGCACTTTTTCTCTAAACGATTACCATCATTTGTGTTTGTAATAACGTTCTACCTGTATCTTAAATTACATTTAACATTTCTTTATCCTTAGTTTATTGAGATCATTTCCTTATTTTTTAACCGCATTCTTAATCTTTTTATGAAACAAAAAATTGACGAATGAATATTAGATTTCCTTTACAATATGTTAATCATTTTAATCGTTATTTCTATTTTCTTTCTTTCAATTAAAGTGAAAGCCTTGTTGATTCAAAGGTTTCTTGAATATAAATATAAATAACGAAACCTTATTATCTTTTTTTTCTAGAAATAATGGTATTTTGTAAAAAGTGAAACGTACAATCATCATTCATTTGATTGAACGATAAAAGTTAATAATTATTCTCCTTTCATATTTATTTTAATTTTACTGATTTCACCGATATTATCAATTACTGCAAGTATTTTCTGCACATTTATCAAAATTGAAATAATGTTACACACAGCGTTACAGCAATTCTTCTTATCCATTGCCCGAAAATAACACAATATTCTTACTTTCGTTCCCGCCTCGAGTAACAACCGCAAAATACTTTAAACTGCAAATCGCATTACAATTATCACTCAAAAAGATAACGATTCATTCGACTCTCATAAAAATATTTAACGGCAATCGGTATAAGACTTCCAGACGGCGGAGTACGAGGCGCGATAGTTCTTGCGGAGGCTCGAACAGGTGAATGGAGGAGATAGGATGAATGAAATACCTTCTAAGATGATAGAAGCTCCTCGAGATACGAGTCCGCTCGGAGCGGCGGATAATTATTACTCTTCCAGCTTACTATAATTTCCCCCTTTTTGCTGAATGCTGTTTTCAACGCGATATTAATCTTCGGACACGTCGTAACGGAAAATTAATTACGTCATTACTGTTACAAGCGCAGAGACAACGTTATTATCGTTACCCGGGACGATTAAGCGATTACGTTTCCCGACGGAAATCGTCCGGCAGCGGTTTGATTCTGCGTGCGCCTCCCGGATGGAAACGAGAACAAGATATGTAATATGCAAACCGGCGAGCCGCTCTGTGTGTCTCGTCGGTGCGGTTTCTCTCGAAGGACGGACAACGTCTTTTACAGTCGGTCGCGCAACCGCCGTCATCGAAATCCATCACGAGTTCGTTCACAGGTGACCCAGTAAGCTTTCGTCGAATTATGGAACGCGTAGGCTGGAAAGCCGCGGCGGAGATAAGCCGACGTCGGAGGGTAGGGACGGAAAACCGAACCGTGTATCTGAAGCGTTGAGCTGACCGATTGACCTGCGGCTAAAGACACGGGTGGTCCGTTATGCCCCAGGGTCACGCGTGACGCAATCAGCCACTAGGCTGGTGAACAGGCCCGATGCTCCTATTCCGTCGTTTGGTCGCCCCTTCTCGGCTCTCCGAACCCGTCATTCGTCGAACAGTCAGAACGGGTTTGTTGGTCGGACACTGTTGTCTCCCATATTGGCCATCAGGAATGCGTACGGCTGGAGATAGCGCTCCGAGCGGATCTTTGGTCCGCGTCCACGGATGAAAAATTGCATCTCTTTCTTGTGGCAATCGGTGGCCCTCTATCGCCATTCTTGTTGCCCCGGCGTCTTCTCACATTAGGGACGTGAAAAAATCGATTACACTGTCCAACACGGATTTCGGGCTGCGGTATCCATTGAGGCGACTTTCGCGAAGTTTCTTGTATCCAGCACGAATTTGGAAGCTGCATTATATGATGCCTTTAGGTTTTGAGAGGTTTCATTTTGGAAATAAAAAGTTGACCCCTTGTACTCGTTTTTTGATGCAATCTATCAGAGTGTCTGAGGTATTGGTCACTCGAAGTTTTGTTTTGAGGAGAAAAATTGTATATGTTTATGTATTCGCGTGTTTAAGTTGTAACGGAGATACAAATTAAACTTGACACTTTGAATTTATCTATTGTCTGGTGTCTGTGATGCAGGTTATGCGTGTTCCTTTAATCCTTTAGGTCCTGAATAAAAAATTTTGGAAAACAAACATTTATTGTCATAATATATTAACTAATTTACCAATAATAGTAAATATTTTTTCTCAAAAAATGCGATTTTAACTGTCAAAAAGATAGCTAGTTATTACTATATCGATTTTATACTGGTGGCTTTGCGACTAATTCACTGATTCGTATTTCGCTAATATTGAAATACGTGGTCTCAAGGCGATGCCACTGAGAACTGAAATATTAGGGGATATTTTAATGCGACGGTGTTTGTTTACTGATTTTAACGAACAATTTATAAAAATTGGGTAAAACTTATTAGCATAAGCTTTATACCGCCAAATTTTTGCGTATAACTGAAGGATGATTATAAATTTTTCATTGAATAATACAAAACAACTGGCTACCATGAAAGGTCTCAAAGTTGAGTATGAAAAATGTAGTTTGCTGGTTGCCATGATTTGAGCTATTTTGCTTATCATGGACAAAAACATTCAATTGATTATCAAACAGTATAAATGTGACTATCGCAAATACCAAAAAGAAAGAAGTATATTGAAATTTTTGTCGTTTTAATATATTATAAAAAAATATATTTTGACATGATTGAATACTATTAAAATTTGAGCTCGATCAGTGCGATAGTTTCTGAAATATCGCGTTTGAAGTTTCGAGGTCCTATGGTCGGACAACGACATGTTATAATCGGAATACTTCCTTAACAGAGATAGTAGAGTTACGGTTTATATGATCAGTGTCCTTTTAACGGAGTCAACATGATATAAAGAGTTAAATTTTTAACTTTAACCATTTTTGCTTACATAAAATGGTTTTACAGGCCTTATCAACATAAAATAGTAATTACTATATGTAATACTATGTTACTATATCATATTTTCTTATAAGTTACATTACACAATCGTAATAAATTCTCATTTTTCAAGACTAAATACTTTTTGAAATATTTTGTTGCATATTATGAAAATATGTTTTAATCTATTCAAACGCAAATCTTTAAATTTTATTTCGAAACTAAAAATATATGACTTAGTCTACTTTAAAAATTAACGGTACATATGTATGTTTTCATAACATAATAAATGCATAATAATTAAAATATTTTATATTTTTTTGTAAATAATTAAAGGCCGCAGTGAGTTTTAACTACACTACGCGATATACCAGATTCTTTTTATACAAAAATTATAAAATAAGCTACAATATGGATTTTGTTTTCAATTAAGATGATAAAATGTTTCTGTGCAGCCCAAGCTACTGCCAATAATTATCAACAGAAAGGATCACTTAGCATTTTGTATTTTAACGTAAAAGATTAATTCGTGTAATTTTATTAGCGTGCTTTTTTGTTATATTTACTATTTATAAAACATTTGTAATGAAAGAAGGATTTTTACTTTTACAATTGTTTTCTTCTCGACTGATGCTAGCAGGAAACAGTTATATCTGATATCTATTCAATTTCAACGAATGTTCTGCGGGCATAGTGGTAAGATAAATTTCCGCATTAATGTTTGAGTCCCTATTTGTTTGAAGACCAGTTGCTTTTCTACCTCATTGAAAGTAAATAATAAATCTTTTAGTTTTAATTCATTTATGATTGATCGGTCGTTACATTCAGTACTAGGGTACACGAAATTAATATGAAATTAATATGAAAGATTAGATTTAAGTTCTTGGTAGAGTATCAGATAGTCACTACTAACATTAATAGCAAGTCAATGTTTTAAACACTGCTTAGATATTTTTGAGTATTCATAATATTATTAGAATATAAACATTCTTATGTAAATGAAATCTGAAATGGAGCACGATTCATCCAAATGTATACGATATTAAACTCTCCATACATTCAACTTATGTTCAATCATACTTTATGATAATCCCAAGTCCAAGACGGTCTTTGTGAATTACTTAATACATAATCGAACGATATCTAAATTTGACAACATAGATACAATAACTATATGTACAATACCTAAATTTCGGTGAAAACGATCGTCCGTAAAATTCGCGTTCACAGAATGCAAACCACAAACACGATGCAGTTTAACACAAGAATTTCACGCTGTCTGTGTGTGACATGTCCTGTCGTTAACACGTCGAGTTTATGGTAATTTTTTCGTTGCGATCGTACGGAGTGAATTCACGGATCGTTACATGATAATTTAGGGGAGCGCGGTATCCACGGGCATGCGATGATTGCGGTCGTGGGCTCGTCTCGAATAAAGGCGGTCCATTCTTAAAAGAACTCACGTGTCTGTAAATTATGCCCGGCTGACAGCGTCAATCTACTTTCACACTTTCTCGCTGTTTATCCCTGTCAGCCCGATCGATGGTCTACAAAATATTCCGCCATCTACATGGCCACGTAACTTTCTTCACAGCAAACTCTTCGATTTCTGTTCACAGCTGGCTCGGGCGGAGGATGTGGAGGTAGTGGAAGCGATTCCAGGGGAGGACAACCGAAACGACAACTCGGCTTTGAACCGTCAGGATAATGACATCAACACGCCCGATCAGTTGGCGTTAGAGTCGTTAGGGGAAAAAGATGCAGGCAGCAATCATTACAAACCGGGTGGTCTCAGAGGACATCCCTTACCGATGCCGCCCAGCAGAGGCAGTTTAGGACTTCCCCACCCGCGGCCGCACCATAACGTCGCCTATCACGGGCCACCGCCACCTCTGCCACCCTCGAAGGCGCCATCGGAGGCCATCGACAAGATTTACACGACAGGCGGCGGCATCAGCTCAGCGGTTGGCGTGGAGCCGTGGCCGGCACCCACGCCGGACATGCCGAAGATCATCTCCCTGGACGTGAAGTGTGAGAAGAATCTGATGAAAGTTTATCTCGGTTTCGACAAGCCGTTCTACGGTATAGTGTTCAGCAAGGGCCACTACAGTAACGTAAACTGCGTACACTTGCCAGCGGGTTTAGGGCGTACGTCGGTGAACTTCGAGATTAGTATTCATGCATGTGGCACAGCTGGGAACACTGAGAACGGTTTATACGGGTACGGCGCGGAATCCGGGTCAGGAACGTATTTCGAGAATATAATCGTGGTGCAATACGATCCGCAAGTTCAAGAAGTTTGGGACCAGGCGCGCAAGCTGCGGTGCACTTGGCACGATCTGTACGAGAAATCCGTTACGTTCCGTCCGTTCCCCGTCGACATGCTGGACGTGGTGCGCGCCGACTTCGCCGGCGACAACGTGGGCTGTTGGATGCAAATACAGGTCGGCAAGGGGCCATGGGCGTCCGAGGTCTCTGGGCTGGTCAAGATCGGCCAGACAATGACGATGGTGCTAGCGATAAAGGATGACGACTCCAAATTCGATATGCTCGTGAGAAACTGCATGGCCCACGACGGGAAGCGGGCGCCGATACAACTGGTGGACCAGAGGGGTTGCATCACACGGCCCAAGCTGATGTCACGGTTCACCAAGATCAAGAACTTCGGCGCATCTGCATCGGTACTCTCCTACGCTCACTTCCAGGCGTTCAAATTCCCCGACTCGATGGAGGTGCACTTCCAGTGCACTATACAGATATGCCGATACCAGTGCCCTGAACAATGCTCCGAGTCACCTTTGCTATTGGAGTCCCAGGGTTTGTTGGAGAACCATCATCATTCTTCGTCTAATGGCCACCCTGATTCCAGCTACGGCATCCCGCCACCTATCCCGCTTCCATTGGAGGCGTATTTGCAGGCCGCCGCTGGACGTCCGCGAGATGAAAGGCGGAGGAAATCTCGAGAAATAGTGCCCACACCTCAGAAGGCGGTCGGCGTCAATCGAATAATCCGCGTGGTTTCCACCGGCGATTTAACGTTCTCCATCGACGAGTCAAACAATGGAGAATCCAATGGGCCTACCATGGTGTTCCCTGTACGCAACGAGAACACCGCGAGCTCGGCGATGATTTGCATGACTACACCAGGGTTCGCTATCACCCTCATAATACTCCTCGCCGTGTTACTTTCCTCGTGTATACTCTCGACTTACCTTTGTCTACGGTTAAGACCGTTCTCAGGAAAAGCTAGAAAGGTTGCGACATATTACACCGGCGAACAAAACGCACCGAAAAAGTCGACGAGGACGTGTTTCTATTCATAGACCCGGCGGACGGTCGTGAACAGCCTAAAAGAGACACGTTGTCGATTTGCGACGCTTGCACGCGGAATATTTTTTAATTTATCAAGTGTCTTATGCGAGACTGGTTTGATGAGTTTCGTAGCGTTCGATTTCGCTGTCCAACGTGGATTTGGATTTGCAATGTTCACTGGGCGATTCTTGTAGGTTTTTATTTAAAGAGCAGATTTGAAAATGAAGTTACTCCAAGGAGCTCAGTTTTTGGAAGATTTAAGTTTGAAGGGAAATTGAGTTTTTAATTTGAGAAGTTTGTTTGGTAGTGATTGTGTTAATTGCGTTATTGAGTGGAGGTAAATCTGTGGTAGAATAATAGCATGATTTTTCTATTTTTATATGAATATCGTAGGTGGCTCGTATTTTATTTGTTCGGAAGATTTTTTGGATGCCATGAATTAAATGTTTTTTTCTAAAAATAATGTATAAAGTGATTGATAATATCAACAATATGTTTGTAATACTTTTCAAAATGGAAGTACATAATTTATAGAGAAGTTTCTTGAAGAAAGTGGTTCTATGTGTACAACACTCGTTAAGTATTGATTTTTTTAGAAATTTGTAATTCATTTTAAAAACTGTAGGGCTGAGATAAAATCTAAATATTCCGTACGATAAAGCGCACTATTTTGGACAGAAAACGTAAAAAAGATTGAAAAAAGAAAATTCTTCATTTGTGATCCATGACACCAAGGATCACTTAATATTTCCATGCTATGCAATTGTTTTATAAATGTCGTCGTTTTAGCACGTTTCATTGTTAAATTTCTTCATAAATTATTTATTATTATTTATAAATGAACTATTTATTATTTATTATATAAATTCCTTAATTATAGAAATGAGATTTACACGTCTAAAACTGTTTTTTTCTTGATTCACATCAATAGAAACTACTTATTCCTGACATTAAATTGCAGCAATATGTGCGAGCATTACAGTTAGGCATAAAACCTAGATGTTGATGTTTCCGAGTGGAAAAGTATTGTATCATTACATTACTAGACATCTTCTATTATATATATTTCGTACAAAAAATACACCGTTTTATTGGGAAGAGTTCATAAAGTTATTTTTAGACAGAAAGCTTTACATTGCATCGTTGAAGCACAATTTTATAATCTCAAAATTTTCCTCTCAAATTAAATTTCTCAAAAACTGAGGGCGATTCGTACTCACGCATCAACAATCTACAAGAATCGTCTACTGAATATTGAAATACATAAAAAGGAGTAGAATTCGTTGGATAGTGTTATTCGTCGAAACAAATATGAATGATGAACCGTGGCTGGCGTTGGATGTTAGATCATTTATGCCGGAAGTAAATGGAATAAAAGATCAAACTTCGATAAAATATTGCTCAATAAAGGTTGCCAGATTCCGATTAGTAGCAATATAGAAAGGAACTTTGGTGATCGGGTTCGTGTTTCGTTTTCATTCTCGGACCATCGAAATCCAACTACACTGTTAAGTCGCACTCATTGAATTTTTGCGCAAACCAGTCTTCCTGGTCGCTGCATTCCAGGTATTTCTAGAGGCTACAGAATGTCGCAAGCACGATTCTGTACACCAGCACGTACCAGATAGAGTATAGTTCGTAACAAAGTAAATAGGATACTCTCTGCTACGTGTGTCGCATCTGTTCGGCCAGAACGATAAAACAATATGGATTTGTGCTTCGTCATGGTAAAACTTAAGCTCAAACATTCGCGCAGGCGACTGCGCGCGGTCGCTCTGAAAAAGAAATTTAGTCAATGATAATCAAACACTGCGCTCACAACTTCCTTGTTACAATTATTACGGGACAATATGGTATTTGGGTATACTATACGTGTTTTGTTTCTCTTTTCTTTTTTTTTTAATTTGTACCCGTTACATATGGACAATATGTAACTCGGTTACGACTAAGGCTGAAATGTTGCGAGATAATAGTCTATATTTTTATTTGAAGAGACACGTTCTTTTATAAATATTGTTGACAATATTATCGTCGTATTGTTATTTATTTGTTGTTTAGAATGTTTGAAATTCCGTCGCTTTATGCGATGTATGTATCTTGCCGATTTGTAATCGCGTAAGTATCATGAGATTATAAAAGGATTTATATATGTTTAGCCTGGCCATTTCTAAACTGTATAAGAACATTTGCAATCACAATCGAAAAGAATTGCACGATAACGCGTTGCATGATCATACAGTGAAAAAATACACTCACACGGTATAACGAATGTGAACGAATCGAGTATATGAAAAGAAGGAAAGCGAGAAATTATGGTCAGATGTGTAAACCAATAGTCAGTAGCTTGTAATGGCATATAACGTTTTATAATATAATATTATATATTAACTTAAGCAAGTAGGCACATAAAACTTCATAAATTATTTCTCATCCTGGAAATGTTCTTTTTATAAAAACGTTAACGTCTGATCATTTCTACGACAAGTAAGTCTACGATTATGTTTGTCACTTTTTGTTATAGGAATATTCAAAATATCGTCGATTAGCCAAAAAAGAATGATAACAATTAGAAGATTCGAGTGAAATCCATCCGAGCCTTCGCATTTTAGGAATAATGCAGGAAGAAAGTAAACGTCGAGTCTGTGGAAATCGGTTAAGGTGCTGTAAATACATTTATTGGCATTAATAATTGATTTACGTTAAATAAAAACAGAACTTTTTCGATGAACAATCGACTTAACCTTTTGTTTCTATCGCTCGAAGCAGCACCGACTCAATGCTACGCATCGTCGCGCTCGTCATTGAAGGCCGACGCCCTCAATTTCGAAAATTTGCTCCACCTCCCCAGCCTTACGACAATTTTTCTCTTGCTGACACGTGTACACATATATTCATACATATCTAAGAAATCTTTCGACGCGCTTAAATTGTTCCGGCGTCGTGGGAAAGGTTCGGGATCAGGGTCCAAGTAAATTAACATCTGCCCGACCCACCGCATCGCGCCGATCGACACATCTCTTTCGTTTCATTCGGAAGAAGACGTGCGACGAGTATTTTTGTTTATTGTAAAAACGAAACAGAACATAAAAAAAGGGAATCCGAGGAAGTTCAGGTCTTCTGTATAAAACAGTTCCTCCCCCTTTTTTTATTTCACGTTTGTAACAGCACTTCGAAGTGATAAACCCTTCCTGCGATAATATCCTTCAAATATACGTTTCTTACTTATATGTATAATTACGTATATGTGGTGTTTCAAGGTCAGCGACTATCATCCCGTCCATGGTAATAATGCGAACGTCTTCAACGTGTGTCGCGCGTCGGGGATTCTTAAATAATTATTTCTACGCTCTAGTCGCTCAACGTGAAAGGCCCATGAGGGGAAATCGGTCTTCGAATCGACTTTGACCACTAACCTTCGGTTGGCACTGGCGGGAGAAAGAAGACTATCGAACGAAAGGGATAAAGTATAATATATTACATGATCTTCGAAATAATTCAAGGACAAAAGAAACCTGGTTCTTTCTTCGGAACGTGTAAATCGCTAACAACTACTGTAATTATTGTAACGTGTCAACGGAAGGTTAAAATGCATCGAGGTATCTACTAAAATATATCGAGTTCTTGCGTTACCTTAACGTAGAGATATACATTATTGGAAATAAAAGAGATTTGAGCTCCTCAGCAACATTCTTCAAGTTCACTTACTTTAATTATTTACGATTTCTTTCCTATGCTCGATTAGGTATTATTACTTTCAGCCTCTTTGGGGCTAGTTCTAGAGGTGCTGTTACTTCGATGTGGTTGTTGAAATGTGGTTAACACGAATGTCGAGAAAAGATCTGAATGCTTTACAATTTTGGCATGACTGTTCACCGATTGTAGTACAAACGGAGTGTTTAGTAATGCGTTTAATGTTGTAGTTCTAATAAAATGAAACATATGATCGTGGACGTAGTATCGGGTGTTAAGTGATTTCTCGTTTGCCGACCGTCGAAGTCAACGACTACGCAAAAATAACTCGAAGTTAGTGTACAGTTGAACGACAAGTGTTATTAGTTTATTAGAATCAACTTCCCTTCCGATAATAAATATTAAAATCTGCCGCTTAAAGAGCGTTTCGTATCAAAATTTGTTAAATATAAATTACAATATTCGTTTGTACTAATGTCTAATTTTATTTATTTTCGATTGTAACCGTTATAGCTCGTCAAGTTAGAAAAGATCCGCAAATGTCGTGCGATTTCAAAGCATTTCCATAAAGTTTTCCATAATCTTACAGTAACTTATATATTTTTTTCATTTATTCCCGTACATAGCAGTTATAAGAATTACTATTACCGAGAATATCGATAGCCTAATTCGAATCGTTCGAGGCTGTCGTAGACACTTCGCGGAAGAGTGGCCGATGCTAAAGTTCTCCGTCTCTTCTAACTTGTGAGGCTATAAGTGTGTATCCATAGCAGCATCCCTAGTAAATCAATAATTAAATATGTATAAATCTATAAGATATATAGATGACTTACATACAGAAAATAGAATCTCGTAAATCGCAATAGTTTACATATGTATATGCCGGCGATTACGAAAGTGATCTAACGGATACATGTCTCCCAGTATATTCTATATATAGAAAGTAAGAAATCTCATTTTCCAGGTGTACCGCTTAGACCTCTTTCGTAATTGCATGCACGTTACGTTATATTCTACAAATTCAAAGTGCGCCGTCGATGCGTTTCTTTCCGTTCTTGAATTCTCTAAGGAAAGCGACGCGTCCGTTGAAATCAGCGTCGCTCCGCCTCCGCCATCTTCGATCCGATCGACGTCCCATCGAACGAAGAAACACAATTTCTAACAAATATCATTCGCAATCTCATCGATATAGAGTTTTTACAATATTCACAGCTTCGGCTGTCGCACTGTCCCATTCGATCCCTCTTCTCGCGAATTTCATTGATTCCACCCACGTAACAAATATCCTCCGAAAAGTATACCGCTTACTTACCCAATACCAAACAGTTGCTTCCCAAAAACGAAATCATTTGCAATGTTTCTGTTTTTGAATCCGTTAAAGAGAAAAAAACAAAGAAGAATACACCCTCATTGAAAAACACCTATTAAAATAATTAGTTTCTAGAAAGGAGTTCAGTTCCAAGCACACTGTTCGACTTTCTCTCCCTCCCATTTTCTCCGAGCCTCGCTCACACACTCACTCTCTTCCTCTTTCTCTTTCTAAAAGGAAAAACACCGAAGGATAATCTCGGGACAACAGTCCGTGAGAGAACTCTCGCGCGCGCGATCTTTACGCACTTAAAGTAATTTGTACAGCATATTATTGCACATTGTCCTTCGAGGGGCGAGCGAACGCCTACCGTTAACAGCACAATAGTCACGTGGACGACGGTCAACCTCTTTCGACCGAGGGACTCGCGGCGACTGGATTCGTTTGTTTTGGTTGGATCTGTTCCGGGTGAGCCGGTCTCGTCGTGCATCGCACGCGTAGCAAGCCGTATGGTAGCCAACCGTTGGTCGTGTGCACTGCTCTATTGTTCTTTCTGCTGTCGACCGCCTCGCGTTGCGCCTGCAGCCGATGAAGCATCGCCCCGGCGACCAGTGCGGAAATTACCGCGGACAGCGCTACCACGATGAACAACGCGCTGAAGCCGGGCATAGGAAGGCAGATTCCATAAACCACCTCCTCGCGTATTCTGCCTTGGAAGACCGTTACCGCTTCCGCGTGAGTGTCCGGGCTGAAGGCCAGATCCGCCTCGGAGATCACCTCATATAAACCGCTCACACCGACATCGGCGCTGCGGATCTTCCTATCGGACACCACGACCGACCTCTTTCGTCTGCCGTTCGGAGACGAGAGAGGTGTCACTGGCACTGCGACGTTGTCCCCTTCGAGATTGCGCGGTCCATGTGGGAACTGTTCTTGATCGCTCTCGTACCGCGTCACTCTTGGTGGGTCCTGGAAATTGAATGGTCGCATTTTAGGAACGCGGGACACGTACAGTATTTCATATAATTGCATAAGAAGTGATCTTCGGAAGGACATACCGGCAAGAAAGGTCTTTTGCTATGTGTTTTGTGTATTATTTTTATTGGTTAAGTGTGGTCTTAGCGATGAATAGTAAATTGGTATTGAAAATGAGATGAAGAAAAATGAAAATTGATTTTTGGATATAAATTATAAATTGACATCCTCTTTTAATTAAAATATACAATCCTTGGTTTTCGCGAAATATATATTCTAACCTTCCTCCTTGCTTGACTTTGGAAACTAATAAAAAAGATATTGCGGTTAAAAATCAGAAGTAGATTTAATAAAGTCTACATTTTATTTCGGTCGTACTAAAATTCTAAATAGAAGAACCAAAATTTTATTTTTTTGCAATTTCAATGTATGAAGTTCAACTTAACTTTGAGCGTAATAAAAAACGAGGAATAGTAAGTAGGAAATACATTTCTTTTATAAATAACTTCTATTTTTCTTAATATAGAAAGCTAAGGGTAAAATTGTATCCCAAACAGCGGAATGGAAGAATTCTTTTTTAATACTGTTTTTACTAGTAATAATCATTATTCAATGTATGCACATTTTGTTGCAAATTGAAAAATAATGACTAAGAGCGAAATTATTAGAAAGGACATTTTGTCTTAAATGTCGTAATTCGGAATGTCAGGAAATTATGTTGACAATGCTTGTAGCTTATAAAATTAAGTACATGAGAAAATAGCTGGAACAACCAAACTTTAAATTGGCAAGGAAGAAAGATTAAGGGCTATATTCCCTTAGCAAATGAGAATTGCAGCTAAGACAAAGGCTACAGAATACAAAGTTCAGTGTTTTAGTCTTCCCAAATTAAGGAACAACAATATGAAATTTCTTATTAATTAGACGATACAAAAGTGGCTTTATCGCGTAGAATGCAATTTCCAGAGTACTGGCGACCAAGAGATGGTAAGAAAAGTTAAGTAATTTTACATAATCTGATTTTCGAAAGTACAAGAAACGTTCAATCCTATAAAAGAAAAGATGTGTTTCCACGTCGACTTCCATTTAAATTCTGTCTTCTGCCAGCGCAGAGTATACAAAACTAACCATGTACAAATAATTAACTTTAAACATTCTAAGAGGTTCAGTAATAAAATAAATATAGAGTAATCAATTTCAAATTGAAATACACTATAATAAATTCATATTTTGCAAGATGTGAATAGATATGCAGAAAATTTCGTTTTCCTTTACACGTATTTAAAATAGGTAGGTGATGTAAGCATTTATGTAATGAACAAAAATTCACATTCAAACTCTGAATCGCTAATTTAAGTAATTTTCATGCACCTAGATACTAAACAAATAACTCGATAAAATTAGTAGCCACGAATGTATCGTCTAATAAACGTATATTTATAAATCGTTAAAAAAATATTTGCTTGAAGTATATTTACTAAGAATGGTCTCGAGAGGTCATCGTCATCTGGATGGATCTCCTCGTCCGGCGTCTCGACCACCGGTGCCGGTACCCGGTTGCTCGTCTGTGCTTGTGCCTTTGGAACTGACTTCTCAACCCCCAAGAAGTGACCCCCTATAGAGGTCATCTCGTCACCATCTTGAATGATATCATCGTAAAGGGAGCCATCAGGCTGCTCGACTCCACCTCCTATGTTTTCGTTGTCCTTCTCGGCGCTGTTATTGTCGTCATCATGAATGGTGGGCGGTGCTGTGGTTTGAGGGTATTGCGGTCGTATCTGATCCTTCCGCTCTTGAATGTAATGGCCAACAGACCCACTGAGTTGACAATGATCCAAACAGCCATGACGACAGATCTCCACCTTGACATTGATCAAAATAGCTTAACGTCTCTCCGGTTCCCCTAGTCATCGTTTTTCCATTCAAACACGAATTAGCATAACCACAGAGTACTCTAACTCCCTTTCATTATCCGCCGAGCAAACGAACTGACTAAATCATTGTGTCAAGATGTTTAACAGCAAACGTTCGAGAAGCTAACGCGTCACGCGCCCGTAATAAAATTCTTCTACATCTAACCCTACATCCCTCCTCCGTGTGACTTATATCATTCGTTCTGCATTACCGACGCTGTTTACCTTGCACTTGATGTGCACGCTCAACGCGTCCGGAAACTTGAACGCGTGAAAGAAGGCGTAAGTGATGACCGTCGCTCGGTCGTCGGAGCCCCGAGCTTTCAGGAATCGGCTGATCATCTTCGGCCTGAGCACACATCCGAATTCGTCGCTGAGCTGTATCGTGTGTCCGCCGCCGTCCGAAGCCACGCACGACTTGACACGCATGTCGAATTCCCCTGGAACGAGTTAACGCGAAAGCTTAGTTAGTGGCCGCGGCTTCCTTGATCGATCGTCAAGCAGAGCCAGTGTCGCGAAGGTGTGCCGCTCGTTACCTCGGTAATCGTTAATAGCGACGACCAGGGTGAGCGTGGAGCCCAATGGTACTATTCCGGAAACGGGTGGCGCCCATGGTCCCTTGCCGTGTTGAATTTCCATCCAACAATCCACGTTGTCGCCTGCAATATCGATAGAATAGCACGGTCTCGTATTTGCGCTCTAAAGGTAGGAGGGCCGGGCAGCGGTCGCTTTCTAGGCACGGCGTGCCAGGTGCAATTTATACGTGTTGCATAAATTGAAATTAAGTGGCGCGGCTGCGGTTCCACCTGTGGTCAACCACGAGTGCACGAGTTACCGTGTACGGTACCATCATTTACCACGTATTAAACTCTTTGCGCCGGGGGATCATCGTTTCTCCTATCCGCTACGTGTCCGTAGACTTGTACACGGCAAAATGTGGCTGACGTAAACCGCCGCAGCGTTCATTCAACTCCAACCACCTTGCGATTGCTTTAATGTGTGTCACTCGACGTACAATACCAGTTACGAAATATTTACGACCGCGTGTTGGAAGCTTGATTTATACGTGAAACTTAACACCTTAATAAAGGGTACTCGATTACGCGTAATATATACAGGCGTCTTTCTATCGCGACGACTTAAAAAACGTGTATAGTGAACAGTAGGTAGTCGCGATGTCGAGGACCTTCTCATGATTGCAACATTGTCCATCCCCGGCAGTACAACGTGATCCGATTGTTGTCGACGATTTCAACGTCTCTTTCTTTCCTATTCGTAGTTCTTTTGTGCATTCGAAACTTCAGTCGAATATTATTATACAAGTTATTATCATTATTATACAATCGCTTATTATACAAGCAATTGATGCCATGAATTTTAAAACAACACAAGTCAATCAATCGACATTTATTATTAAATAGGCCTGAGCAAGTTGGCAACAGTTACATCAATTACTCATATATATAATGTAGAAAAATAGGCGTGTGTTGTTTTTGAATTCAGGACGTCAGTTACGATCGTGATTCTATTGTAATTCGTGTCATTTTGGTCACAAAAGAACATGAACAAAAGAAAAATATAACGAACATGATGGTGAAAGTTTCATTCATCAAAACTAGAAAATAAAATGGTTTGATTTTTGAGTTGAAAGTCTTAACCTCATCGCGAGCCTTAATGTTGTCAAACGCTTCGACTCCCAGTCTTTCTTTTCCCTTCACTCGCGTTATTCTTTTCTGCGTTACGCATGCTATAATCTTCGTTTTTTGGGGTCGAATCGACTCGACATTTTCATAATTGCAATTTTTCGGTCCTGATGAGTGTTGCAATATCCAATGTTCACTATATCCTCTTTTGCACGTTTTCTGTCGGGTTAACGTGTCAGAGATTTTCGAGCAGAAACGGCATGCAGTAACACATTGGTGAGCTCACCGTGCGAAGAAAAGTTAATTATTCGATTTCCCAAAATGTGCACAATGAATCAGAATCCATTTATAGATTGTTTGCTAAGTTTGCGATAAATGAAGGAAGAGAAACATTTGAAGAAGAAGTGGCAAATGTTAATGCGCGTACTCTCAAAGTGATATAATTTGTAAAATTATAAAAATGAGAGAGCTTTATTATTCGTTTTACTAAAGCAGTCACATTTTTACACGCAAGACAAGCTACAAAACCAACCTTCAGGGGTAATCAGTATACAGTGGAAGCTGATACAAGCTTTACGCTTGGAAAATCACCGCTAATTGACAAGGTGCTGGAAATCATTAAACCAATTTAGGAAGAGCTGACGTCTGATGAATTGTTGGAATGATGGCTTGATGAATTCACACTGGGTAATAATGAATCCTTAAACTCTTTGATTTCATTCTATTTTCTGAAATGTTTATGTTGTGGGAAAAAAGAGATTGGTATGCAATGTGTTTAATTTGATTCTTCTCTCAAATACACATTTATAAGTATTATCCTTCGTCATGGTTACAGTTAAAATTATTTTAGTACAATAAAAGATTCTATTCCTTTTTTGCATAGTTAAAACTACAAGAAATTATAAACATTGCCATCATTTGTCTCTAATTGCTTCTAATTTTAACAAATTTTGTTCAACTATAATTGTATTTATATCGTATCGCATTATCATTGATTTATTAATTTTTAATGAAAAAATGAATGAGACGAAGCTTGGGTATATTATAATTATGAATTATAAATCAATTAAAATCTCAATAGATGCATTGTTGGAGTTGCTATAGAAAAATTAGAAAATCGTTAAATTGCTAACGATTAAAATTTACTAATAGTAACGCGTGAGCTAGATCTCTGTCTTTGTCTCTTGCATGGTGTGTTTTTCAATGCCTGTACTGATCTGCCTGACGCGTGTCGTTATTGGCGTACCGTCATATCTCAAAAAGCTTGAAAACAAAACTATAATCGTAATATCGTCAGTCTTTAATCTACTATCATATAGCTATTCTTTATTTTACTTTGATTCTTGCTCATAAAATACTGTTACGTGTAGTAGACTAGTTTGCATATAGAAAAATTGTTTAATTATTGAATAGGATATATTCAAGATAAATAGTAAAGAGATGAGAAGTCATACCTCTGAAGTCCAATTGAATTACATCAAGATCCGCGATGACCATTGGCGGTTTTGAGGCAGTCTTCTCGTAATCGTTGAACCATTCGCATCGTAATCGCTTGGCTTCGTCCCAGACTTCCAACAAATCTTTGTCATACTGCACAACAACGGTATTCTCGTAAAACTGCCCGTGCATGTCTGGTTTGGTACCACATCTACGAGTAAACGGAGTTTAGTGTTTAGATCAGCTTATTGTTACAAATGTATAACATAAATAAAATTGACACATTACAAATTTTTATTTTATAGTATTATATTGTTCTTATTTTATTATAATACATTCACGTGTTAGATTTAGAATTAGTAAATGAGTTACAAATCAGAGGTAGCTTTTCTGTAAATTAATAAAAATTTTAATATATAGTAGAGTTTATTATATCATTTAATATATAGTTTTTTAATCAAATTCTGCACAGTAAGCTATTAAAAAAGTAATCACACCAAAGATAAACAAAACTAATATTCCATATATTGTTCGAATTGAAGTTTCTTTACATAACTTGAATATTTTGTAGACAATAATAGAATCTTTACATTGCAACTTAAATGTTTTAAATTTTTAAGAATGTTCAACAATACTTCTCAATTCCAATTAATTTTAAAATACTTATAATTCGTATAAATAGATACTTTATGTTTCGACCAATAGATGCAATTTATAAATACACATTAATAGAAATATACATTAACTCTGAAGATGACATATTAAAACCAGCAAAACAGCCTTTCGCTTCGATCCACGTGCAACAAGGAACATGGATTTTTCTTAAATTAACCTAGAAACCTCAACCACGAGTCTCACTGGTCATTATAAGGCAAGGGGTTAATTTGTATGAAGAACATATTTCATAGTGATTAATTATTATTCATCAAACTTTTATCGAGGCTCGATTCTTTATCTAATTACACATCCAAGATCATAAATTAGGAGTTTATAATCGTAGAACTTCTGAACCAACTAAAATGACTGGTTTCGGTTTTCTTGTTTCACAATTATTGATAACTTAACAACATAGAATATTTAAAATGGTTTCGAAAATAAATAGTTTCACTCGAATACTATAACAAATAGCTGAAAAAACTGAAAATAATTTATTTTCAAAATTTTTATAGGGTTATATATTAATCATATTAAATGCTTGGTAGTTTTGATGTTAATTATTACTTGTCAAACTTTCATCGAAGCTCGACCCTTTACCTAATCGCACATCTAAGATCATAAGTTAAGAGTGATTTGAAAGGTACGATAAATAGAGAGGCGCAATCAGCCATTAGTGGTTCCACGCGCCTTAAATCCTTTCAGCGAGTCAAGCTGCACAGAGCCTACCCATAAAGATGTTTCCTTAGATAGATACGGTCCGGCGAATCAATGGGGAATCCCACGATCTTACCTAGCGTAGGCTATTCGAAAGGAGAAGAAAGTCTGCCCGGTCGAAGGCGGAACGTAGACGCATCGCGGATCAGCGTGCTGGCCCTTGGATGAAACTATGCCCTCAAAGGGTTGGGAAAACGAGAGATGCACATCCATGTGATCCTTTCCGCACATCACTTCGAGGGATTGTATGGCTGGCATTCCCTCTGGCCTCTCCAGCGGCCAAATGTCGCTGCTGCTACCGACCCTCTGCAAGCCAACCACCTGCACATTCAATGAATATACATTTTTAGTTTGAATTCAACAATACCTAGCCTTTTCGTTGTGACTCTCGTTTCGTGATTATTGAACACCCACGATTATCTTCTATTCAGTATTCAATAAACCAGTTCTTAACCTATAGTATACGGAGTTATTGGGTTGACCTAAGTTTTCACGTTTTTTATAAGACATAAAAAGAAGAACTATTAACTGTTCGCTGGTTAAACCACAACTAACACATTGTTGACAGGCAATTTTACGCAGAAACTATCCCATATTACCAGTTATTACTTCGTAGTTAAATGAAAATGAAACAATCTAAATAAACTTCATTATACTTTATTTATATATAGTGAATTGAAATGAAACTTTGGACATATCTTTTATATAACTTTGAATATTTTGCCCTGCGTTTCAACATTCGAAATGGCTAAGTCAGGTGCAAACGAGTTAACTTGTGACCGGTCAACAATGTGCTAACAAGGGAACCATTTCAACCAGTGCATGCGGATTTTGATAAAACTTATGTGAGACATAGTTCTCAAGAAAATATTTGACACGTATTTTTTCTTATCTACCAGCATTCACTTTGAAGAGCTGAAAACACAGTTGGGGGATGAAACTACTTTTTATAATATTTCTGCAACTAGGAGGTATGGAAAAGAAATTTTCTTTTTAAATTATTCGCCTCTAAATAAACAATTCAGATTTCTTTTCTGCGACCTTTGGTTGCAGAGATATTGTAAAAAATATATTTTCAACCCTCTACTTTGAGGGGTATTTTCACTCATTCAGAGTGGATGTTGGCCGATAAGAAAAAATATGCGTGGAACATTTTCTTAAGAACTATGTCTCACATAAGCTTCATTAATATTGGAGTATGTTGACTGAAAAGGTTTCGTTGTTTGAAAACAGATGTAATTTCTGCCAAAGAAAACAATTTTTTCTTAACCACATGCAAAAGGTGTCAAAGGTTTGTATAGGTATGCAAAAGAATTGGCAAAGTAAACGAAAAGTCTGTCTGTTAACTACAATATAACGTTTTTGAATTTTTTTGATTTGTAATTATTTTTTACTGATAGTCCAGAGTTAGTGGATACCCTTTTGTACTTGTGGAATATTTTATAGCCAAAAACATGTAAAGTGATACGTGAATCGACCATATATTGGCTTGAGAGAAAAAGGCTGAGGATAGACAGTAATTAATACGAATTAAATATGAATTTGAAAATTGCTCGTTTCGATTAACCTTAGTTTTCGAGAAATTTAATATTGAAAATGAAATCTTAACCTTTGAAATAATAACTTTTTGAAAAACATTTTTATAAGGTATGTATTTAAAACACCAAAAGTTTTTGCATCTGAAAATTTCGTTTTATCAAATTTGAACTTTTTAAAAACTACAAGTAATAGAGTAAAATAATTTTCAAATTCGTATTCAGCGTAAAAAATTTACAAACAACAGTCGTTAGTTACCGGAATACAAAACAGAGTTCGAGAATATCATTCAGCAGATCATCCAAAAGTAGCGGCATAAATCATGTGCCACATACAGTGATCGTTAACGGTCGTCAGATCATTTTGCCGAAATTTATTGCGAGTTTAGAAATTCTTCGCAGTTTATGTCTGTATCTGCTGGGAATACTGTATCCCTCGTGATTTCATTAAACTATCGAGCGTGAAATCGTGAGATGGATGGATGTCGCTATGCGACTGACCTAGTAAATTGATGGTTCGGGAACTACATGTAGAATACATTAATGAAGAATGAGAAATATGCGGAGTATCTTCTTATGTAGACATTTCCTTGCTCGTTTTGGTTGATCTTTTTACGTGATTATAACAATTAACTGGCTTCGAGAATGATATATAATAGGAATTCGGAAACATTTAAATTAATGAACTTTTAGATTATGAAACTTTAGAGATTTAAGATTTCATGTATATATCTCTACATTAAACGGTCAGGTGTACATGAAATAAAAAGTACGTATGTATATCAGCAGTAAAAGATGTTTCTGTGTTTTAATTGTTTATTGTTCCTTGCAAAAAAGGATGGTCGAAATGAGTGCAATTAAATTATAAATTTGTAGGTATGCAATGGAATCAGATCATCCTAGAAAGATGTTTATAATTGAATTTTATATGTATGCTTTTAAATGTTGGTCATAAACATGTTTATTAATGTTATGCTTGTTTCATTTTTAATGAGATGTTGTTTTGAGGTTTTATAGACATGCACGATAAAATTCAGATAAAGTTGCTGCAAGATGGAAAAAATTAATGAAAATAATCGCACAGATCTGAAATTATTGATATATCAACTTTAGATATGAGTATTCGTAACTTTTTTTTGTGAATTAATATGTCTGAATAAATGTGAAATATATAGAAAGAAAAAATACTGTTGTAAATAAACTCCAAATGTAAAAATAGTATTCAAATAAAATCATGCTTCCAAAATATAGAAGTTCAGGTGATGTGTATACATGTATATTGAGCTGATGCAAAAATCTTGACGTTTTTTTTACGTGATTAACAAAAAAATATTTTCTTCGAAGAAATAACATCTGTTTTCAAATTATTCCAACATGTATAAAGAACACTTCTTTCTTAATCTTTGCTTAATTTTGGTTTAGTCAATGAACAGTTGAGCTACTAAACTAAATCTGAAAATTAAAAACGTCAAAATGTTTACATCATCCTAATATATATCTACAGGATGTGTATAATCTCAGTACTATATAAAATATAAACTACTAAGTATTTAAATTTCCAAATATGGTTATCATACACTTTACACACGTACCTATAATTTTAGAACATTTCTCACAGTTCGATGCAAAAGGAGTTTATATAAAATGAAAGATATTGGATTTTAGAGTAGTAAAATATTACTTTTGAATTAAGGAACAAGTTTTATATTGCCATTTCCATTTATCTTGATTCTCGGTACACTATTTGCATAAAGAATTTAGATAATGCGGAACGTAATATGCAATTTACATAGCTGTATCTTAATATCTTTTTTGATAAATCGATAGACTGTGAAGCTTGATAGAACCTTTAAGACGAATGAGATTGCGAAAGATTAAAGCACGTTTATAGTCGGCTTGGTCTTAGAGGATACAATCTAAGTTTTACGGTATAGCGTGCCGGTGTTAAACGAATCTGATAATGTAACAGGATGGCGGAGGCTTCGGTATAGTTACCTAGATCTGTATAATCGTTATAAAAATTTTACGAGGTTAGTAACGCTCTGATAATCAAGACTATGTTCATAGAGGAAAAGTATCCTGATTATAAAATCTTTGAATCTAAGGCATTTGTACCGTATAACATTCTCCGCCTTTACGTTCGATGAAATCATTATGAGAACATAGAATTACCAGCTTGTATATTTTGACCAAATATTTTCAACGGGCATATAGGCATGCAGGTATTATTATGCAAATTATTGATATTTAAGAAAATAACGTACGCTGGATAATTACCGGGTAGCACATTTAATTGCACGTTACGTGAAACTAAGGTAAACTTGTAATACAGTTTTAATAACAGTGATTAGTTCTTTGTATTATTGTAGCATACGATGTTCTTTTGTAGTCTGAAAAGTTCAGAATATGGTTTATTTCTTACTGAAATTTTGTTGTTTCTTGTTTATTAGAGGTTAAGATTAACTATCAACTATTAACTATTCTATTCTTAATTATTCTAAATATTCTCTCAATAGTTAATTCTAAGTAATCTCTTAACACTAAAACTACCAGATAGGTCAAATTGACCTACTTCAGAATTTTATTTTACAAATATTAAAATTGCGAAGACATTTTTCAGAGAGATTTTACATTACATTCGTGCATTTGTACAGATACAAGGCTAGGAGACCCTTCGAATCTTGAAAAGCATATTGTTTTAATTTTTATAAAAGACTGGAAATAAGTCACTCTAATTGCTTGGTAGTTTTAGTGTTAAAACATTCTAAGGAGAAGATTTTTACAAATTGATTATAAAAATACAAACTGGGTTTGAGAAATCTATTCTATTCTATTATCTATTACATTTGAGACATCTTATATGCGATGATTCATATGATACAAAACCAGTAGAAAATGATATGTCATTTGTAATAAGTAGTCAATACAGTAAAATTCAAATTAACTTAATTACTGGTTCGATTACATACAAATTAATTACAGTCCCTGAAAGCCACAGCTATCACAAAACGAATAAAATGATATGTCGTATTGAATGCAATTTGTCTGTCTCTATTTCATTGCACGAACCTGATCCCCGCATTTTGTACTTATTTCCCAAAAGATACAAGACATCTTAAGCACGCCATGAGAGATACTTGACAAGTGCTGTAATAGATGAGGTATCGTTCATTACACGTACCGTTCAATGCATAGGAGGTTCCCTGTCGTGAATCTCAAAGTTATTATCGTGTATACACCCACTACAAGCCGCCACTACCATGTAGATCATTCCGGATGAGTCGTGCGCCGTGGCGCAAGCCGTCCAACGTGCACGTTACGATCCGACAAAAAAAATCACGGTCTTTCAAGCGGTTCATTGCAGATGAGCAAAAAACAAACGAGATGCAAATCATGTAAATAACAGCTACAAAATCTCTGAACGTAAGACGTTTTCACGTTGTATTTTCTGACAATAATTCTCAATGATGACACGCTATTGGTGGTATCCGCAGTTTCACGTACTTTCATTTTCAAGTAGGGACTATAACTGTCTCGTTACACTTATGGTAACCATATCTCCTAAGTAATTACGCGATTAGTTTTCTCGAAGAAGATTGTATTAGGTATTGGAAAAAGCTCGAGAGGTTTTCTAGTTAGCGATGAATTGCGATACGATTTCAGTCAGTATTTCACTAGTTTAATGAATGAAATTGGCATTAGCAACAAGTTATGTTTATGCTGTTGGCATTAAAGAAATATAATTATTTTACACAAACGTTCTTCGTGTTTAAATTTTGATTTAAG